CCCCAAAACCCCAAAACCCCAAAACCCCATCTAGCTAAATGAACTGTAAAAATTAAATGAATCGTAATAAATATTATAATAATAAATATAATAAGGGTCAGATAATAAGGTTGATGCCATCAGATGTTTCTACCTCAGTCTTATCAAATATACCTCCAAAAATATGAGAACTTGCTAGTGCAGCATCTGCTCTCGACCTTTATCTAGAGTAGCAGCGCCTTTGAGCATTTTTTATGTCATTTTTAAATTATGCATCCCAATTTTAAAATCTCCTCTCAGTTTCCAATGGATAATTATTAATTTACTCTGTGAGCTTTAGAAGTTTATTTCGATGTTTGATTTTATCCTATTCAATAGTGCTTACTGCATACTTTGACTTGTTTATATATAGCTCAGCTTACCTTGAAAATTAGGGATTATTTTTATTGGCTTTATCCTTATATTTCTTGGAGAAATGTTGTGCAAGATGATCTAGTACTGTATCTAAGACAACTGGTGTCTTTTTCTTAAAATCAATGGGATTTACATCTATTAATTTTTAATCAGATGAAATTTTGGGATCATCTTATTTTTAATTCTTTTAAGGGCCTTTTGATTTTCTAATTCTTTTTCTGTCTAATGCTTTAGCACTAGCCAATCTGAAGAAGGTTTTTAAAAACATTTGATTTTGCTCTTGTTCATCTTGATCTTAGTTTATATTCAAATTAATTTTAGGCGAAAAGATCTCCTAAAATGACATTTTTTTATGACAATTATAACTTGTTCTTGAACCTTTTAGTCCAAAATCATTATAATGTGTTTTAACAGATTTGCTGTTTTTCTAAAAATCATCAAGAAGAGTTGCTCTTTCGGTTCTATCTTCTATTATTGCATTTTCTTTTATAATTTTGAGAAGTTCTTCTGCTCTACTAGTATCAATCTTCTCCAAATTTCCGGTTTTGACTTTTGTTTTTTTTTGTTTGGGGATTGAACCGTCATATCATGAGGTCTTTTTAGCTTCTCCTCCAGTTTATTGATTCTCATTTTAATCTTTTAATGTGTCTTTGTTAATTGAACCTGTAACCATTTAATCAATTGGAGTCAGCTATTCTTTGTTTTTAGGATGTGATTTTAAACTTTCCTCCAAAATTGAATCAACTTTATTTGACTATTAAGGATTTCTTAGTTTCTATGTTTCAAGATTTTTTGTGATACTGTCCTCTCCTTTCAATAAATCAGGAGATTGAAGAGTTTTAAGCATATTTCGGAGTTAAAAAGAGCTACCATTGAGATTTCTGCCTGAAGATTACTATTACAATTGCAATTATTTTAAACTACATTAATTGTCCTACTACTATGAAAGCTAATATTCTTCTAATATATCACCTTATTTCGCCTAAGAATTAGTAGTTTAAATCATTTGTTAAAGTTCTAACATCTATGATTACAACTGAGGTAGTTAGTCTTAGTTAATTAGATTTTCAGACTATGTCTACAATTATTGCAGCTATTTCAGCTTTTTTTACTACTTTTTATATAAACTCTTCTTAGGCTTCATTGGAGACATTTGACTAGCAGCTTACTCCTTTTTTTTTAATTACTCTTGTTCAAGCCTCTCCATAGCAATTCAAGGAATTATAACTTTACCAAATGGCGTGATTTTTTGAAACCAAAGTGCTTTAAAGTGCTTGTTTTAAGACTATATTTTAATTATCTTATTAGTTAAGTTATTAACTTAAGGGTCATTATACATTTCATCAATTTAGTTCTTCAGATTTAATGGGTCTTTTAGATTTTAGGTACTGTTTGATCTCAAGGATTAAGTATATTTACTAATTTTCATTTCTAAGTTAATTTTATTTATTGAAATTTTTATAGAATTAAAAATGCTTACTTCCTGGGGTTTTGGGGTTTTGGGGTTTTGGGGTTTTGGGG